GCAAGGATTCTTCAATATATGCATATCAATCAATCTGATACTCGATATTAACAAATTGAAGAATAAAAATATATGATCATCTCAATAGATAATCCAACACACATTTATGATAAAAACTCTCCAGAAAGTGTGCATAAAGGGAACCTAGCTCAACATAATAAAGGCCATATATGACAAACCCACAGCAAACATTATTCTCAATGGTGAAAAACTGAAAGTATTTCCTCTAAGATCAGGAACAAGACAAGGGTGTCCACTCGCGCCATTATTATTCAACATAGTTTTGGAAGTCCTAGCCACAGCAATCAGGAAAGAAAAAGAAATAAAAGGAATCCAAACTGGAAAAGAAGAAGTACAACTGTCACTGTTTGCAGATGACATGATACTATACACAGAAAATCCTAAAGATACCACCAGAAAAGTACTAGAGCTAATCAATGAATTTAGTAAAGTCGCAGGATACAAAATTAATACACATAAATTTCTTACATTCTTATACACTAACAGCAAAAGATCAGAAAGAGAAATTAAGGAAACAATCCTATTTACCACTGCACCAAAAAGAATAAAATACCTAGGAATAAACCTAGCTAAGGAAGCAAAAACCTGTATGCAGAAAACTACAAGAAACTGATGAAAGAATTCAAAGGCAACACAAACAGATGGAGAGCTATACCATGTTCTTGAATTAGAAGAATCAATATTGTGAAAATGACTATACTTCCCAAAGCAATCTCAAAATTCAATGCAATCCTTACCAAATTACCCATGGCATTTTTCACAGAACTAGAACAGAAAATTTTAAGATTTGTATGGAAACACAAAAGGCCCTAAATAGTCAAAGCAATCTTGAGAAAGAAAAACGGAGCTGGAGGAATCAGGCTCCCTGACTTTAGACTATACTACAAAGCTACAGTAATCAAGACAGTACAGTACTGGCACAAAAACAGAAGATCAATGGAACAGGATAGAAAGCCCAGAGATAAACCCATGCACCTATGGTCACCTAAGGTATGACAAAGGAGGCAAGAACAGAGAAAAGACAGCCTCTTCAATAAGTGATGATGGGAAAACTGGACAGCTACATGTACAAGAATGAAATTAGAACACTCCCTAACACCACACACAAAAATAAACTCAAAATGGATTAAAGGCCTAAATGTAAGGCCAGACACTATAAAACTCTTAGAGGAAAATGTAGACAGAACATTCTTTGACATAAATTGCAGCAAGATCTTCTTTGAAACACCTCCTAGATTAATGACAATAAAAAATGAAAATAAAAACAAAAATAAACAAATGGGACCTAATGAAACTTAAAACCTTTTGTGCAGCAAAGGAAACCATGAACAAGACAAAAAGACAACCCTCAGAATGGGAGAAAGTATTTGCAAATGAAGCAACTGACAAAGGATTAATGTCTAACGTATACAAGCAGCACATAGAGCTCAATATCAAAAAAACAACCCAATCCAAAAATGGGCAGAAGACCTAAATAGACATTTCTCCAAAGAAGACATACAGATGGCCAAGAAGCACATGAAAAGATGCACAGCATCACTAATTATAAGAGAAATGCAATCAAAACTACAATGAGGTATCATCTCACACCGGTCAGAATGGCCAGCATCAAAAAATCTACAAACAGTAAATGCTGGAGAGGGTGTGGAGAAAGTGGAATCCTCCTATGCTGTTGGTGGGAATGTAATACAGCCACTATGGTGAACATTATGGAGGTTCCTTAAAAAACTAAAAATGGAACTACCATACGATCCATCAATCCCACCACTGGGCATATACCCAGAGAAAACCATAATTCAAAAGGCACATGCACCCCAATGTTCACTGCAGCACTATCTATCATAGTCAGGACATGGAAGCAACCTAAATGCCCATCAACAGAGGAATGGATAAAGAAGATGTGGTACATATATAAAATAGAATATTACTCAGCCATAAAAAGGAATGAAATTGGGTCATTTGTAGAGATGTGGATAGATCTAGAGAGTATCATACAGAGTGAAGTCAGAAAGAGAAAAACAAATATCGTGTATTAGCACATATATGTGGAATCTAGAAAAATGGTATAGATGATCTTATTTGCAAAGCAGAAATAGAGATACAGAAGTAGAGAACAAATGTATGGATACTGAGGGGGAAAGGGTGGTGTGTGTGGGAGGAATGGGTAGATTGCGATTGATCATATACACGACTGACACCATGTATAAAATAGACAACAAATGAGAACGTAATGTATAGCACAGGGAACTCTACTTTATGCTCTGTGGTGACCTAAATGGGAAAGAAATCCAAAAAGAAGGGATACATGTATACGCATAGCTGATTCATTTTGCTGTATAGTAAAAACTAACACAACATTGTAAAGCAACTATACTCCAATAAAAATAAATTTGAAAAAAAAAAAAAAGGACAGTAGTTGCCAATCAGAGGGGTAGGGATTGGGCTAGGAGAGGAATGAATAGGTGGAACACAGGGGATTTTTAGAACAATGAAACAATTCTGTATGATACTAAAGTGGTAGATACATGTCACTGTATATATTTGTCAAAACCCATAGAATGTCCAACACCAAGAGTGAACCCTAATGTAAACTATGGACTTTGGGTTATAATGATGTGTCAGTGTTGGTCCATAGGTTGTAACAAATGAACCACTGTGGTGCAGGATGTTGACAGTGAGTGATGCTGTGCGTGTGTAGGGCAGGGGGTATATGGGAACTCTGTACTTTCTGCTTAATTTCATTATGAACCTAAAAGTGCTCTAAAAAATTAGTATATTTAAAAATAAATAATTCTGAGAAACAAGGGTAGAGATAAGGACATCTACTCTAAAATGTAGAATATATAAAAAATATTCATCCTACAAATAATACAAAATCCTCATGCTGAGTTATAAAGAAACTATATGAGTAACACCCTATTCATTTAAAAAATACAATTGAAAATAAAAAATAATGAATTTCCTATATAAGAAGAAGTTTTCTAGACCTAACAGAAGAATCACTGATTTGGAGTAATAGTTAATACAACAAAAACACGGTAACCAAATCATGTGTATAGGACATGGAATTTTGTTATACTATGACTGGGTCTATATTTATGTATCATTGACTGACCCTATAGATTTCAACAATGAAACAATTGCATCAAACATAATAGTGGGTCAATTTCTGCAGGGTAGGAAGAATTTAGGCCAAAAAAATTTGTAGTAATTATTTCTAGGTTGAAAGAATGAATTTTGGGGGTAAAGAAATCCTCAAAGTTGCTGGAATGCAATAAGTGGTTTGCCTCTAAGCAACTAACCTTTTGTAAAATATCTGAATAATGGTTAATTACCTCTCAAAACTACTTTGAATACAGTAAGAAGCTGAATATGTCCTAGAATCCACCCTGGAAGCTAAGCAGGCACGGGACTAAACTGCTTATTTTGGAGACGGTGAAGAGTGAGTATGCAATGAGTGAGCCCATGATGGCAAAGACTGAGCTCCTGGAAGTCTGTTCGTGCCTGTCAATTTGGGCTACTTCAGGCACAAAATGACAGTCCTTAGGCATATGGCTCTCTATAATCAGGCCGAATTACACAAATTCTGCATGCAAAAATCATCAGACTTTCAGCTAGAAAATGGTCTGTTCCTGCAAAACCGATCAGATATAACCCGGCTCAAGAGTCTCTGGACAAGTAAGAATGCCAAAGGACCCAGACATAAACGCCCTGGCACACACAACAACGGCAACGGCATAGTTCCATAACTTAGTGAGAAAGCAGGATATTGCTAGTGTAGAATGGTTGTAATGTAACTTTTAAAGGTAATAGATTATATTACTTCAAAATATTAATGTTTAAAAAAACTAAATATTTCAAAGTTTATTCTGGTTACACAAGAGAAATGTACAGCCCATGCAAAGTATAAAATTGTATTTGTGACAGTGAAGTGAGTTCAACCTTTATGGCTAATAAACAGAGACATTATATTTTCAGCACAAGGAATAAAATCACATTTGTGGTAATAAATGTCTTTTGACCAGAGTAGTTTGCTTGTCATTCTTTTTCCACTCTTTTCAAACCTATTTATATGCTTTAAAATCTAAACTTAGGTGGCTAGGTTAACAGTTAAAACTTTTTTTCAAGTAAAATGTTTTTACATGTAAGTTTTTAAAATATATATATTAAACTTTTCCACAGGATAAAAAATATCACTCTTACTTTAAAATTCAGTTAGCACCAAAGACCAGATCCTCCCATAGAATAATCTGTTTTAGAACTTTAGGTGGATAAAATGAGAAGGGGCCTTGTAAGATAAAAAAAATTCTTATGATCACTAAGCAGAAAATTTTTTTAATATATTTGTTTATTGAAAAATCATTTCCATGCAACTATTACATTCTTTTTAGAGTTAAAAATGTGTTCTACCTGCTATATGCCTTATGATCAGTTCATTAAAAAAGCTATCCATAAACCATAATATTTATGATTCAAGAGAACTTTCCTTGAAAATGACTTGAAATATTATAATATTTTTTCACCTAATTAAAAACGTTGAAGATTATTTTTCTATCTCTGCCTTGAATTTATTTAAAAATAAAACATTTTGAAAAATACTTTGTTCTGAAATAATATAGCACATCCAAGTAAAAGTTTCACTCCAGGAATATATTTTAAAGCCATGGCTTCTAATTTTGAAATACATGCTTTGAAATACACAAGAGGACCTATGTAGAAACGTTAAGAACAAAGATGACAAAGCGCTAATTAAAACACCTACATTTAAATAGACTGCATGTTTAGTCATGGAAAATAGTTTCAGAGGGCAAAAATGCATACTATTAACCAATATAAGAATGATTTTTCATTGGACAAAGATATACTATTTTCCTATGAAAAGGAGAGCGAAATTTTTAAATGTGCAAATATATTTTGGAAAGCATGAACCTGAATAAATTCTTATTTTGAGGTGGTAAAGAATAAAAAATCACATGTACCCTGTTTCGATAGGCAGCACCTTTCCAGTCTTTGCTCATGAGAGTATCCATAGAGGAGGTATGCTTCTTGTAGTGCACTTTTATACCACTTCTTTTTATTTGTACATTTTCCTGGCTAAAGAAAGAGAGAAAAATAATATAGAGAGAATAATAATATAATAATAAAATGTTTAAGCATATAATTTTGTTTTAACGTCGACTTGATTTAGCTGTTGAGCTGGAACTAAATCTAAGCATTGTACAATATATTCTTTAGATTTTGTTATCTAATTATTATTTTATTAGTATTTTAGAATATAGCAAAGTTGTAGAAATTTTGCATGTTAATAACCAAAAGGGTCAGAGTCTTAATTCACTAATTTTTATCTCATATTTAGAAAGTTACAAAAACTTAAGACCACCAGTGTAACAAAGTAGTGAATATTAATCTATTTTATCAGAATAATGTTGATTCCCTTTTAAGTAACATAGCAATGATAATCAAGTGATAAAAACTGAAAAGCCTAGTTTCTTATTGTAGTAAATAAAATTAATTCCATTCACATCTAATAAATGACTGTTTTCAGGCATAGTAAGCGCTCAATAAATGTTATTCTACTTGAATACGGTACTTTTTCCAAATGTTTATTTAGTTTTTTTCTTTTAGTTCTCTATTTTTATTTTTTAAACTTTTTGTTTTATATTGGAGTACAGTTGATTAACAATGTTGTGTTAGTTTCAGCTGTACAACAAAGTGATTCAGTTATACATATACATGAATCTATTCTTTTTCAAATTCTTTTCCCAATTAGGTTGTTACAGAATATTGAGCAGAGTTCCCTGTGCTATACAGTTGGTCCCTGTTGGTTATCCACTTTAAATATAGCAGTGAGTACATGTCAATTCCAAACTCCCTAACTATCCCTCCCCCCAACCTTCCCCCCGGTAACCATAAGTTCGTTCCCTAAGTCTGTGAATTTGTTTCTGTTTTGTAAATAAGATCATTTTTATCATTTTTTTAAAAATATATAATTTGAAAAGAAAAACAGAGTCAAAGAATCTCTAGGTTAAAAATGACTATAAAAATTATCTGGCCCAGTAATTTTGCCAATGTTATTTTAGAGCTTGCCCCAAAAAGGTTTTTATAATGTTTATAAATGTTACGATTTATAAAATACATGCCACCATTTTCTTTTTGAAAACTTCACCATCAAAAAGAATACAGGTGTTACACTGCATGTGGTGGTCCTGGACACCAATTTATTTGGTATAAAAGCAATGAAAAAAACGTATCAAACAAAAACCTAGTTTTGTATACAGAATATTTAAATTTCATTCATTAAGTTATTTCTTAGGAAAAAGAAAACATAGGCGGATACAATTCAATGAACATTAGAAAATTTAAACTAATTTAAGAATATCTAAGTTAACATTTACAGATTTAAGACATTTCTGCAACTCAAATGTTGTAATGATGCTAAGAATTAATGGGTAGTGAAAAATCACCTGTAAGCTGTTATAGCACTAAACAACTGAAGTTAAGGAAATTTCTTGAGGAAAACCAATGTGATACATTGCTAATATAAACTGGCAAGTTTGGGGAACTAAAAAGCATTTTTTAAACCTGTGTCTCTGAATCTTTAAGAATTTATCAGTAAGTATGTGCCACCTAGTGGTAGTAATACAATTAAACATCTTCTAAAGAACTCAAAAAGTTAAAGACTCTTACTTTATAAAGAATTCTGAATTCCAGAATAAGGCTCAGCTATGCATTTTATTTTTTCCAACTAGTTTGTTCTTTAATTGAAGTGATTCTAAAAGTGTAGAATGTGACTCCCTATCCATCCCTAGTACTGAGTGTTTCTCCCAAAGACACCCAATATTACCAGTTTTTTTCACAGTCTTCCAGAGACATCGTATGTACCTACAGGCATTTACATCATTTAAATATCTGCTTTTACAGACTGCTATGAATTTCTATATACTTTGAGTTTTTCTATTTGTCTTTCAGATTGCTTCATTTATGGATTTATTCAACATATTCTAGACCCTTGGGATCAATCACTGAAGAAAACAGACAAAGCTTACATTCTAACCAGTGAAACAGACAATCCACAATAAGCATAACAAATAAGTTAAGGCTACAGTTTAAGAGGTTATAAATACTATGTAATAAAGAAAAGATGAGGCAATAAAGTGGTCAGGGTAACTGTCACTGAAAAAGTGACAACTGAGCGAAGACCTAAAGGAGGTCAAGGAGTTAGCCCTGTAGATGTCCAAGGAAAGAGCACTGCAGGCAGAGAAAAAAGGCTTTAAGATAGGAGAATACAAGTTTATTCAAGAGGTATCAAAGAAGGGAAGGTGGTTGTGGGTGAATGAGGAAGCGAGTGAGTAATAGGGAATGATGTCCAATAAATTAACAGGGGCCAGGTCATGGAGGTCCTTGCAGGCCATTGTAGGGATTTGGGCTTTTACTCTGAGTTAAACAGGAGCCATTACAGAGTTCTGAGCAGAAGAATAACATTTGACTTGATTTAACATTTTACAACAATCACTCTGCTTGCTTTGATGAGAACAGATTATACAAAGGCAAGTGTAGATGTGGATGACTGGCTACTGCAATCATCCAGGCAAGAAATAATGGTGGTATAGATCAGGTCATAGCAGCCACTGTGGTGAAAAGTGGTAGGATTCTGGATATACTCTGAAGGTAGAGCAAAAATAATTTCTTGACCAACTGAAGATTGGTTAAGAGAGAAAGAAAGGATGACTCTCAGGCTTTGGGACTGAGCGAGAGGAGGATGTGATTTGCCATCCACTGAGATGGGGAAGGCTGTCAAGGAAGTGAAATGGGTGGTGGTGGTGGAGATCAAGAGTTCAGACATGCTGAGTACGCATTATGACACCCAAGCGAAGGTACCAAGTAGCAGTTTGGTAAGGGAATTCGGGAGAGAGAACTGAACTGCAGATAAAATGTAGGAAACATAGACACACACACACACACACACACACACGCACACCATATTTAAAGGCAAGAAATTAGATGAGAAAACCAAGGGAATGAGGATATAGATGTATGTATATCCAAATACGTAGTATGGCATGTACCATTATTTATTTTACAAACACCCTTGTGATGGATTTAAGTTTTTTCAAATATTTTGCAATATGAAACAATGCTGCAATAAAAAATTTTTTGTCTGTATGTCTCTTTACCCATGTGAAAGTGTATTGAAGCATAAATTCCTCAGATGTTGAATGACAGGTTTATACATATTTTAAATTTTGGAAGCTTTTGTGAAATCACTCTTGAGTGAGGTGGTCAAAATTTACCACGCCATGAACAAATGCTTCCTCACACTCTGGAGAACACTTCCATTACCAAACTTAGATCTCTGCCAATAGTTTTAAGGAAAAGATTGGTATTTCCTTTTTATTATCATTTTCATTTTTTGAATTCTGTAATATGAGCAATTTTTCATATTTTTTCCAGCTTTACTGAGATATAATTGACAACTGTGTAAACTTAAGGAGTACTACACAATGACTTGATACACATACACATTGGGAAATGATTATCATATAGGGTTAGTTAACATATCCATTAGCTCACATTAAAACCTTTATTTGTGTGTGTAGTGAGAACATTTAAGATCTACTCTCTTAGCAACTTTCACGTATATAACACAGTAATTAATGTTAACTATAGTCACCATGCTATATATTAGATTCCCTAGAACTTATTCATCAATCTTCCATATTTTAAAAAGTCATTTATATTTTCTTTTCTATGGAATGACTGTTCAAATCCTGTGTTAATATTTATATTGGTTGTTTTCTCATTGATTTGTAAGAGATTTTTGTATATTAAAAAATTGCCCTTTGCTATATGTATTGAGAACATCTTCTCCTGTTAAGTTTATCTTTTAGTATGTTTGTATTTTCTTTTTTGTTCATTTAAATTTTTCATCCTTCTAGAACTAATTTGGATGTGAGCTATAGCTTCTGCTTCATTTTTTCCTAAGTAGCTAGCCAGTTGTACATACATAATTTATTAAACAATACAACTTTTCTTTAATTATTTGAATATAACCTTATCACTAACTATTTTCAAGTACTTTTGGACTGTATATTGTTCTATTAATCTATCAAATAACTGTTAATATCAAACTGCTTTAACTACTAGAGTATTACTATAATTTTATATTTTATAGGTCTAACTCCCTCTTCTATGTTTTATTTTCTTACAAATGTTAGAATTTGACCCTTGAACAACACAGGCTTGAACTCTGCAGCTCCTTTTATATGTGGAGTTTTTCACTAAATAGGTACTGCTGTACTACACAATCCACGGTTGGTTAAATCTGTGGGTGCAGAACAGGTGAACTTTGATGGCCACTGTTAAATTACTGCAAAGTTACAGGTGGATTTTCAACTGCAAAGGGGGTTGGAGTCCCTAACCCCCAGGTTGTTCATGGGGTCAACTGTAGGGGGGTTTTTAAGTCCTTTTTAATGGATGTGGTACATATATACAATAGAATATTACTCAGCCATTAAAAAGAATGACATAATGCCGTTCGCAGCAACATGGATGCACCTAGAGATTATCATATTAAGTGAAGTAAGTCAGACAGAGAAAGACAAATATCATATGATATTGCTTATATGCGGAAACTTAAAAAATGATACAAATGAATTTATTTACAAAACAGAAACAGACTCACAGACTCAGAGAACAAACTTATGGCTACCGGTTGGGGAAAGCGGGGGATGACAGATTGGGAGTTTGGGATTGACATGTGTACACTGCTATATATAAAATAACCAACAAGGACCTACTGTACAGCACAGAGAACTCTGCTCAATACTCTGTAATAACTTAAATAGGAAAAGAATTTGAAAAAGAATAGATACATGCATATGTATAACTGAATCACTCTGCTGTACACCTGAAACAACACAACATTAATCAACTATACTCCAATATAAAATAAAATTAAAAAAATAAAAATAAATAAAAATTGAGATTGCATTAAAATTAATTTAGGGAGAATGGACATCCTTCCATATTAAATCTTCCAAACCAAGAAGAGGATTATATTTTTCCATTTCCTTAAGTTTTATTTTCTGTCTTTT